AATTAATGGCAATATAATTTAAAGCCTGTTTTTGTCTTTGTGGAAGAGACACAGAAATGATTTAGTCTTAAGAAATTCTCATCATAATACTAGAATGATAAAAATATATATAATTTAAGTCATCTCAATCACTAATAAATTTGCACTAATAATGTATGTGTTCATAATTTTTGATATGTTTTAATCGGGCTAAAATTTGATGGTTTTAACTTTGGCATTAATTTTCCTATATCTTCATATACCTGTAAGGCTTAGATTTCTCCAAGGTACAGTGGCACTGATGTTACTGTTCACAATTTAAAACCTCACTTTATTTACAAATTCGCAGAACACCAGCAGACCCTCATATAAAGAATTTTAAAATTTAATAATTTACTAGAATATTTTTAACTCTGTATTAATTGAATGCTATAATATGTACTTTAAATAAGAGGTATGTTATTCATAGCAGTGAAAAAATCTAGTTAATGCCTTGTGATTCACACTTTTATTTCTTAACACTATTGTATCAAAAAGTATAAAAACTACATAAAGCTGAAAAAAAGTTTTACTTGTCCTTTTATCTAGGAAAACTGCCTGTATTGAATCATTTAAAAATCCTAGTGACAAGTCTGCATATGCTACTTTTAGGGGGGAAAAAAAAAGTAGGAATTGTTACACAGCTGGAATGCCATGTTCATGAAGACCAACCCTGAAACTTAATATTTTCTTCATGCTGGAAAATTTTTGCTGCTGTAAAATTATGTTTCATGAGTATGAAACATGTAAATTTAAAATACAGTGTATTTGTATTGCATACACACATGAATAGTTGCTTTTATGGTTGTAAATAGTTTAGTGTCTAACAAATTGTTACCAAATTAACTAAATGTGGACATTTCTTTTGATTGAATATAAAATAAATGTGTTAGTTATGTTAAAGTTAAACTTCACATAAACCCCTTTAATAATGATGCAAGAAATCCTTTAAGATTTTTCTAAACAGTACAGCAAATTATACTGCTGTTGATGGAAAATCCAGGACTTGTGAGTTTTAAATGAACGCTACAAAGGAGTTTTAATCTTGTATCCCCCATGTTTATGAAGCCTGCTGCTCAAAGTTCTCCCTTTCTATTTCCATCCTGGTTTCCCAATTCCTGATGATCTGAAAATATAGAAAAGTTAAAAGCCTTAATGGTACTAATATGTATACCGGAAGTCCAGGATGTCACGCCCTTCTGTGTTAAAATACTTGTTACAAATTCACTCAGGATGTTGAGGGTGGGGGAGGAGAGAGTCCCAAGATGTAACCACCTAAGAAAAACAATTTTCTGGCTATATATTTTTTCAACAATACTTGAAATATAGCTTTAGGATTTTTCTTTGAACTGTTTGAATGTTTACTCTTCTTGGATTATAAAGACAGCTTACTGATAATTACTTAATGAACAATTACTAATGACTACTGACAGAGAGGTCCTTCCACCAATGTTTTTTAGTTGTGGGAGGTGGAATGTTGGTTAGAAATATTTAATTGGAATTTTTGGAAGAAATTAAGATCGAGAACAGGTTCAGGAAATTTAAAGGCCTGGCCGTCAGGACGTTCAGAGCTCCAGACTTCCCAAGGTTTGCCATACCTCTGAGAGCAAGCCGCTTCTTTTCTAAAGTTAGCAGTTCATAAAAATTAACTACCTGAAAATAATAGATGAAAACCGGACTTTAGAAAAGCCAAGCCCCATCCTTGTTTACAGCAAGGATAAAACCAGATTTCTAATCCGCCGGAGCCACAATCACCTATTGATTGCGACGACATCTGTGCCCCTGTTTTTGGAAGCAGGGTTTTCTGCGGAGGCAGGGTGAAAAATCCGACCATTTCGGTGCTCCTGTGTAATAAACAGCTAGCAGGCTTCCCAGGAAGGAGTCATGAAATCCACACCTCGGCTCACTTGTTTCTCACCTATGGACGGACCCAATTAAAAGTCCTCCCTTCCGCATTCATAAGTTATCCTTTTCAATAATGCAATCTACGAAGTAGCATCTCTAGACCTCATGTGGTAGGTACTCTGTAGCAGACAAAGGGTGAAAGGCTTTGTGCGCCACCAAATACACCCTTCTCCGCCCCAGGCCAGCCCCGACTAAGCCGTAGCGCTGGGGACCGACTCAGTGCAGCCGTGGGGTAGGACAATGACCTAAGGATCAGAGCCTCTTAACCCCTTTCTCACCCCAGAGCTTCCCTCGGGATAAAGTCTCTTAACTATCCTAGACCTGGCGGGGGCGGGGTGGAGGCCGGCGGTCGGGGGTGGGTTTACTGTGTTGGTCCCCAGGGCGACCACTCGATCCTGGACCAACTTTGCATTGTGCCAAGTGCCCTGACCCAGTAGAGTTGCCAAATGCAAACCGTGGAGCCGAGGCTGAATAACAGACTGGGACCACCCGGGGATGGGGGACGTGTTTGTGTGCGCGCGCGTGTGTGCGTGCGCGCGTGTGTGGTGTAGGGGGAAAGGGAGTGGGCGCACTGTAAAGCTGAGTTCAAAAACTGCCCCCTCCCCCGATATAGACTGCTTAGTAGCCCAGGCACAAGAGAAAGTTGATTCGTTTCCGCTCTCACTTCTCAAGTTCACACTCAAGTTCAACCCCTGACTCTCATAAGACGTCTGAGTAGCCTGGACCTTTTCTCCATCCTTATACAATCACCTCTGATGACGCGGAAGGGCACGGTCTGTAGGAAACGCGCAGAGATGGCAGAGGAGGGACAGTAAAGGGTCAAGAACAGAGAGCCCAGGAGGTAGAGAGGACTCCACCACCTTTTAAGGTTGATTTTTCTCCAGAGCGTTCCCCCGGGCCCCCTGAGAGCTGTCTTAAGTTAGAACCCTCTGGGGCTGTGGGGTGAGTTGTGGTGGCGGGGGAGAGTAAGCTTCCACTTCTTTCTCAAGGTAAGAGGCAGCACCCGGCGTCAAGCTTCTCGAGTCCCCGAAGTGGGCGCCTTGGCGAATCTGGACTGTCGCTGGCAAACTGCTCCTTCAGGAGCAGTGCGATCAAGCTACAACCCACTCTTGTCCCACACTTCTCTGTTTTCTACAGTTTAAGGGGAGAGTGAGTGGCTTTTGGCCCCAGGCCCTACTGCCGGGTTGGAACTGACGTGGCGCATGGTTTCAGACCTTCAGAATATAAGAACTCAGCCACGGGAGGAATATTGATTGGAAAGGGAGAAGTAGGGGTTGGACGAACTGGTTATCCCAGAGAGGAGCAGGGGAAACTGAAAGGAGAGAGGATGGTAGTGAGACGGGACAGAAAAACAAAAACAAAGACTAGGGCGTCCTTAACTTAAAGGTTCTGCACTCTCCAATTACCCAAGTATAGTTTCCTGAAAGAATTTGGGCAGTGGAGCATGTGACCAATCCCCCAACCGGGACACTAAACTGGAACCAGCTTGCACTCACGGGGCCCCCACTACCAGTATGCGGGTCAATCAACACCATTTCACCAGGACGTCTCTGTCCCTTAGCTTCAGCTACCTCCCTCCCACCCACCTCCATGGATGGCCTCTCTGTTCCTCTTCCTCCTTCCCTTTCTTGCCACGTCCCAGCGCCTAGCTGGCTAACCCAGTCTCTGCTCTAGCGTCCAGGCTCGGGATTCACTTCGAGCGGAGCAGGGGGAACATGCCCGATACCGCATCCCGACGCTCCTCAAGAGGTACTGAGAATGTGGATGGGAGGTGAACACAGCCGAGTGGAAGGCGATGAGTGTTTGCAGCCCAACTCTCCCAAGTTCTTCTTGGCCAGTCCACCTGTCACGCGGGCTCGGGGATGTAGGAAGGTCCGGAGCTGGCCGTTTCCACCTTTCTGTTGCCAGGACCCAGAGGGACAGAGGAGGAGGAGAGGAGAGCCCCCGCCCCCGCCCCACCGCAAGAAACGCAGAATGGCTAGAAAGAAACACTGGGGAGTGTGGGGCGGCGGGTGCTCCGAGGCTCGCACTTATCCCCATGGCACGCGGGCACCCGGCCCGCTCTCCGAGAGAAGAGTGAAGTTGTGGCCAAGCAGACAGTGGAGGAAAGCGGCTCTGGGCACAGCGCGCAGGAAATGTGAAGGTCCTGGCACCGCAGGGGAGGAGACGGATCAAGTGATTCCCTAAAGCAGGCCAGGCCATCCGCCCGGGCAACCCAAAGTGCAGCCGGAACAAGTGTGTTGCCCCTGTCCCCGGCGCGTCACCCCACCGCCGCCAGTTAGCCCAGGGGACCTGCCACCGCAGTCGCCGCTGGGGGTCCTGACCCGAAGGTTCACCCAGCACCACCTCCCGCAGCGGCCCTTTGACAAAGGAGCCTTCCCCGCCGCGGGTAGCGCGGGCTTTTATCCTCTGGAACTTTCTCCGCACAACTTTTTCAGGGTGGCGCTCGTCCCTGGGCCGCGCGGGCTCGGGCACGCGGACCTGGCCAGGGCGCAGCTCCGGCGCGAGGGACGCGCGCAGGGGACGAACCCGGAATCTGTGTCTTGTCCCACGACACCGCCCCCTCTGCCTACCACTCCCACGAAGGGACACTGTCCGCTGACCTGGACGCTGGTGGGCCTCGTAACCTGAAGAGTGTGTGTACCCGCCTGGCCGCCTGCCCGTGAGCCCCGCGCGCCTAACCCCGGCCGGCGACCGCCGCGCGCCCTGCGCTTCTAGCGGCTTCTGCCCAGAGGCATACTTCTCCCGGCTCTCCCTCCAACCGGCGTTCGCATCCGCACCCGAGAGTGACACCCCAAAATGGTACAGTACAACTCAAGGACTGGGAGGAAGCAACTAGCGTCGTCCCCCTCTCCAAAAAGCGCCCTCCCGTGTCCCTCCAGAACTCCTGAGAGGCATCAACACCTTCCCACAACTTTCTACGCCCAGGCCATTTGCAGCCCAACTGCGAACACGAACTCAGTAACTGCGCCCCGCCAACCTCTTTCCTCTTCGGCTGGGTGCGCTCCCCTCCCCCATCGCCCATCTGGCTGGAGTTGGCTGGACCGGGGAGACACGGTGCCTGCGGGCTCGCTTACCTCGCATGGTGTAGCCGCTCTCCTGCTCCGCGTAGTCATGAAGCTGCTCCCAGCCCGAACCCCGGAGAGCCCAAAAATCCCGCTCAGCACGAGTGAGGAAGGTAGTCGGCGAAGAGCTGCTCTGCCGAGAAAACCATCCCTTTAGGTGGACGCCGTGGCCGGAGGGTGACGTTTGCTGCCGCCGCTGCTATGTTAACAGTTTTGATGATGGTGGTGGTGACTGTTTTGATGGTTGTTTGGTTGTTTGTTTGTTTTCAGGAGGGGTGAAAAAAATGTGCTGGCTGGCTGGTGCCTGGGTTTTGTTTTGCTTTTGTTTTTCTTTTTTCTTTCTCTCCAATGTACTTGCTTTTTAAAAATGCCACCGCCTCCGGCTCAGAAGGTTTCTTTTGTGATCACTTGGACTGAGGAGGAGGAGGAAGGGCAGCAGCAGGAGGAGGAGTTGGTGGTGGTTTTGTTAGTTACAAAGAAGAGGGAGAAGGAGCAAGGGGAAAAAAAGGAAACAGAAAGAAGAGGAAGAAAGGCGGTGTGGATGGCAGAGCATGTGCGTTTTCACATGACATCTGTGCCTGTTAGCGGATCCACAATGTGAATTTTCACTGTTCAGTTACAGGAAGGAAGGGAGCGAGAGAGAAAGAGAGAGGAGAGAGATGGAGAGAGAGAGCCGAGAAGGGGCTTATACGCGAGGGCGGGTTTGGCTGGGACTTCCAGGCCCCGCCTCCTGTCAGCGCCGCCGCCAATCAGCGCCTGGCAGTTCTTGGAGGGGCTGGGACCACGGGGGACAGGCTTGAAGGCGAAGGGCGGGGGATTAGGACACTGGAGCCGAAGGCGGCCGGGGCTGGAACTGGGCATTAGAGACTGTCCGAACTGGGCGGAGGAGGAGGAGAGGGACCGATAGAGTCGGGCAGATCTGCAGGTGACATTCACTTCCCATTCCAGGAGGAGGGAGGGGGCACTGACGAGTCCTTGGAAGGGAGGGACGCGGGGCTCTCCGGGTCCCTGGTTGCTTCCCTCTCTCGCAAAACCTGCGGGCCCCGAATAGTTAGTTGTGAATTTATGTCAGCTCTCCGCAGAGTCCATTTTCGGAAAACTTCGCGTGGCTGGCGGGGCTTTCCCCGGGCGGGACGCTTCAGTTTTAGTGGCAGAATAATGCAAATCAACTTTCATCACTTTGAGCACAACTAAAATGCCGTCCCATGCAAGTAGCCGTCCTCTTCCTTTAAAACCATCTTTTAGATGCTTCCTGCCCCAGTCCTAAAAACAAAATAAACAAAACAATGAGATCTCTTTTGCTTTTTAAAATTATTTTACAAAGTTTTAATGCTTTCTTTTATCGAAGAAATTGATTTTATCAGCATTTGGAGTTGCTAATAAACTGGCATTGGGCCATACGACTCAGTGATAACAGCCCCAATGGCAGTGTGGCTACCTTAGTGCTGCAAGGTAAAGGGCTGGCTGAGGCTACAAGGTATGATTGTGTGGTGCTATTGATGAAGTAAGTTTCAGGGCTTTAGCGGGGAGGAACTGTTTATTCTAGTTGCTACTAGAAGACATTTGTCTATTTAGAGGGGTCTGGCAATTAAACGTAGGTAGTTATCGTATTCCTGAGGTGAAAACTGTCATCTATGACCGTTTATTTGTATTGTGGTAAAAATCTAATGCATATATCAAAACTGTTCCTTTTCAAGTCTCCTCCTCTCATTGGACATACTACATAGATGATCACATTTACTTCCCATAGGGAACTTTGTAAATACTTTAACTGGTCACCCTAACAGACAGAGAGGTGAAAAATTTTGCCTAATCTACTCAGTCTTAAGGCATTGAGGCTTCTACTCTATAGCATACCTGTTGGCAGAGCAGGCCTCATCATTGTTTAGATACCTGAATAATTTGATTTTTACTGGTATTTATTTATATTACGTCATGTAACACAAAGTGCAATGTAGAATTGGCAATTATTTAGTTAATTAGATCACCCTACGCTGCCAAGTAGTCCCCCCCAACCCCGATTAAATAAAAATGGATTACTTTCTGAATCTTCACTAGTGTTAAATTGACTTAGCCTTGCTGTATGCACTTCCATTTGCAAGCCAATGTGTAATTTAGGAGAATTTTAGTATTAAGAGTGAAAGTTGATTGAGTCTTTAATGAAATGAAATGAACAAAAGGAAGTTACTGTTCAGAATAGTTATTCCCTTATAAATATCTTTCCCCTAGATTTTGTAATTGACACAGTAGTTAACCTTTTAAGATAATATTTAAGCCTCCCTAGTTTTATCATTTTAATCAAGTAAAATATATTCATCATAACTACATTAAAGCTGAACTAAGTTATGCCTAATTTAGTTGCTTCATTAAAAATAACTGAATATAAAATAGTCAAGAAACAAATTGTGACTACATCATTTTAATTTTATGTGTTTCAAGCAGAGACACAGGAATATTGAAAATTCCAAAGCCTTTGTAAACATTATAATTATTATTGCTGTCATTATTTTAGATTTCTATGTCTCATTAAAGAGGAATTTCAAAGTTCAAGAATTTTAACTCTTTCATCTAGTCCTAAATTTCTAAACATTTACTGAACACTGAAATTTCCTTTTACTGCTATAATATCTGTAATTATTTTAAAACATAGTCAAAATACATATTAAAAGTACTTTTTTCTCCTTCTACATATTTTTATATATCCTTTGCTTTGTGGGTTTAACCAAGCATATTTTTGCTTAGAACTATATCACATATTTATTAATCTCTCCTGAACACTTTTGAAAAACTGTTAATTTTAAATAAAGACAATTATGTTACATTATTTTTTCAAAACTGTATGTATATTACATATATGGTCGTGCAAAGTATCTATTTTAGAGTGGAATAAATGTTGATCATTGGTTATAATGTGGTGATCTGGGACATTTTGGATCTTCCTAAAAATTAGAAAACCTAGTCTTGAGTGTTTCTATTAACTTTCAAATTATTTCAACTGAATGGAACCTATTTATGTAAAATAAATATTCAGGATTTAAATTAAAGAAATCAGCATTTTTCAAGAAGTCACGAAATACTTATCTATAATCTTATGTTTTTGTAACCCATCTGCCAGCAAATATCCATATTTCAAGTGGCATAATAATAATATATTAATATAATATCCTTGATCACGTGAAGCTCAGTGTCAGTAATTTTATTTGAATAATTATGGAACTGTCTGGTTTCCTATAAGCTTGAAACTCTGCTTTTGGCTCTGGGCCTGAAGGATGTTCTTAGTTGACAGCTAAATTTTGATAAGTTTAAATGATAATCAGTAAGTCACACAGACTGACTGTATTCAGTCTCAAGAATTGATATAGTTTCACTCAGGCTTGCCTGCTTACCTGCTTTCCCCACATATCACTACCCCTAAGGTTAGGCTGTATGCCCATGGAGTAATAATGACGAGAAATATCCTGACAGACCCAAAGGTCTAATATGAGCCAACCACTTAGGGTGACCGTGGCATTTAGGATTACACTATTTCAATCCTAAAATGCTTGGAACAAAATAGGAAGGAATTGTTCATTATATTCTGAGCTGGTCAGTCTATATATAGAGACTATTTTATTTTTGTTTTGTTTTGTTTTTTAAAAGGTTTATTATTTATTTAATTTATTTTTGGCTGCATCGGGTCTTAGCTGTGGCATGCAGGCTTCTCTCTAGTTGTGCCGTGCAGGTTTTCTCTTCTCTAGTTGTGGCACGCGGGCTCCAGGGCGCATGGGCTCTCTAGTTGAGGTGTGAGCTCAGGAGTTGTGGCGTGAGGGCTTAGTTCCCCCGCGGCATGTGGGATTTTAGTTCCCTGACAAGGGATAGAAGCCGCATCCCCTGCACTGTAAAGCGGATTCTTTACCACTGGACCACCAGGGAAGTTCCAAAACTCTTTTAAATAACTCTGAATCTTGGGGGGATATTGGCAACACTGATATTACATTTAGAATGACTTAAAGATTGGGTGTTTTTAGCCCAGTTTAGGGAAGCTGTGTGGCTGTGAAAGTTGAAAGAGAGGTATAAAGCTGCCTTTAAATGTTGGAAAAGCCAGAAAAATATAAGAATTTTTAACGTTTGAACCTATTAAAAATGGAAAAGGTGAAGTACTGAATTCCCTCTTGCTGAAGGAATCTGAGAAAAGACTGAATGAAAGACTGGTAAAGATGCTCAAGTATACAGACTTTTCTACTAGGCTGAAAATTGTCCTGATTACCTCCAGTTTGTTCTGTAACTCTAAGTGTACTCACAGGTAGGCAGCAACCTCTGCCCCAGTAGCTGCAGCAGAGTTATGCTTCCCACTGAGAAGGTAGGCTCCTTGAGAGCAGGGGCCAGAATTTCCCTAAGGTTTGGAAGCGCTCCTGGTATTTTATAGGCGCTTGGTAATTACTGGTTGAATGAATCCTTTCTACTCTTTGTCCACTGGATGTGAACCAGAAATGTAGCAAAGACCTGAATAAGATCTCTTCTTTCTTAGTCTCTAGTGAATAGGAGAGAGAGAAGAAGAGGGAGAGAGGGGAAAGGGGAGAGATTTTTTTTTTTTTCATTTTAAATTCTCCTAATTTGGGGAAGAAAAAAAATGATGTTTGAGTTTGGTTACATAATCATAAAAGCAAACAAAATCTAGTTATTTTCATATTTATTACTAATTTCAGTTTTATTCCCAGATGGAGAGTCTTCATAATCTTTCAGTACTTTAAATTTTGCTTCATTTTTAAGTATGGATGCAAATTCAACAAGTTTTCAGAATGAAAAACAAAAGAGCAAATATTAAAAATGTTTAGCTGGGTCTTTTCACAATAAATTGGAAAAAGTGTTAAGGACCAAAACAAAATGAACCCCAATACGTGAGGGTAAGAGGTAAGTTTAAAAAGGGACCAATATACAGGTCAGGAAAAAAAGTTTCATGATCTATCAGGCTATCTAATTTCTATTTCTTTTTCTTTTTTTTTTTTTTTGCGGTACTTGGGCCTCTCACCGTTGTGGCCTCTCCCGTTGCGGGGCACAGGCTCCGGACGCGCAGGCTCAGCGGCCATGGCTCACTGGCCCAGCCGCTCCGCGGCATGTGGGATCCTCCCGGACCGGGGCACGAACCCATGTCCCCTGCATCGGCAGGCGGACTCTCAACCACTGCGCCACCAGGGAAGCCCTACTCTAACATTTTAATAGTGGTTAACTGCAGGAATTTGAGAGAGACAAAATAACATTTTGTGTCATACATTTTGTACTGTGATTTATTTACAAGAAGCAGATAATACTCTGTGTGTGTGTGTGTCTTTGTGTGTAATGAAGAAGTTTTTTCAAGAGGACCGGAGGGGGGAAAAAGATGAGTACACGGAACTTCCTTTACCAAACTTGCTCTAAAGTCATTCCAATGAAAGCAGAATATTTTGGCACAGAAACAGATACATAATGGAGCGTTATCAGAGCATGCAGAAATTGATTTAAGACTATGAGGACTTTATATAAAAACCAAGGTAGAATTTCAGTTCATATTGAAAAATATGATGCATTTTAATGTGATGGATAATGCCAGATTTCTCAGATATACAAAAATACATTTCAAATGAATTAAAGATTTAAATGACATATATAAGCAAATACATAAAATAACAGAATTATATTTTTGTATATACTTATATAATGTTTTGTATGGGGCAAACTTTTCTAAATTAGGAAACTCAGCTTTTATAAGGAAAAAAATAGATGTTTTTTCCTATACACAAATTAAGAAAATGAGTAATTTAAATGACAAAAGACCCCCAAAACAAAGTGAAAATACATACAATAGGCTGGAAAAAATATTGCTGCACAAATGATTAATAGTCTTTATAAACAAATGTATAGAAACTTACAAATGGATATGAATTAGACAAAAAACTCAAAACTGGAGTTGCTAGAGAATAAAGGGAAGCTGCTTAGCGGATTTTTTTTAACTTGATTTTCTTTGCTACAGGTGAACAATTTCTCTTTCATGTTTATATCTCAGTGCTGTTAGAAAGTCTGTTTCCAGATCACTTGACCATATTTAAAATGTCTTGTGTGTTTATTAAAATATGAATTAAAATGCAAATATAATATGTTATATAACTTCACCTTAGCTGTTGATGCACTGCAAAATTCATCTTCAATTTGCTACTACTCTCTATATTCCTGCTTTATTAATCCAAGCCACTGTCCCTCTCCTACCTAGATGGGTACCATGTTCTCAGAATTTGTCTCTTTACCTCCATTTGTGCCCCTTAGTCCATCAATTTTCCATCTGGCATCTAGAGAGGACTTTTAAAAATGTAACTCAAACAATCAATATTCCCTTGGTAAGACATTTTAGTGTCTTCCAATTGCATTTAGGAAATAACCCATACTTCTTTCTTTGGTTTAGAAAGAGGGTGCATACATACATATTCTGGTTTGCCATGGCATCCTGCATAATTATCAGAAGTGCCCCCTTTCATTCTCAAAAGTGTTCCAGTCTGAGCAATATAAAATATAGTTACCCTAGTTATAAAGCTCTGCTGGCTTAAAGGTTACATTCTCAGAGAAATCCTCCTTCATCGTATCACTTAAAAGAGCCCTCACTGATAATTCTTTATCAGAGCATCTCTTTGTGGTCTTTAACGCACATAGCAAATTTATGATTATTTTCTTTTCTTCTCTTATTATTATCTAATGAAGGAAGTACATTAATTTATATTTAATATTATTATTAGCCCCATGAAGCAGGAACTAAATCTCTGCTGTTTTTGTATTAGGTCATCAGGGCCTAGCACGTGCCTGACACTTAGCACATGCTTAAGAAACGTTTGTTCAATGAACCGATCCTTGGACTAATTATTGGGATTTTTTTTTTCAGGTTTTAATTTAAAATTTATTATAATGGGGTCTGTGCAAAAGGAGGGAGTGAAGGGTGGGGAACATGCAGGGACACAGGAACACGATGACATGGCCAGGGCCACAACTTCTGTCATGGGGGTAGGGATGAAAAGAAAAGGCCAGGGCTGGAGCTGGGGTGGAAGAGGGAAGGGGGATACACTGTGGCTGCATTCCCCCCACCCCCAGGAAGCATGTCTAGTCCCTGAATCTCCCCCATTTACCCTGGCCTCCTAAGATACCATCTCTTGTCCTGCCTCTGGCCCTAGTGGCTCCTTCTTTTGCTCCCTTTGACTTGTTTTCCTCTGACAGATTCTCAAGCAGGATGATGTTTAGGGCCTGACCCCAAACCACCCCGCCTTATGAAGGTACAACCTTTTCCTTCCCTGTTTCTGCCCCTTCTCAGATCTCACCTTTCCCCCTCTCTGGGACAGAATCTTTGATTTCCCTCCTTCCTCTCCTCCCTCCCCCTGGAAAAAGAAATTAAAAAAGGACCAACTCC